TTATTAGCTTTATTTAGAATATACCTTGAAATGACAGAAAATGGTGCTATTTTTCCTAAGAGAGAAAAATACAGCAACAGTAATTTAAAACTTTTTGTACAAAATGTACTGAATTCCATAGGTGCCTGCCTCTCTGGTATTATATATGCTTATTACAAAAAGAAATATACTGAGATGATGTTAATGCTTCAATTTGAAACCTCTGAACCCAGAAATTTGCTTTAAATTAAGAAAGAAGCCCTTTCTGGTTTCTTGGATGCCAAATGTCAGCCAAGAACCAATTTTTATAGCCAAGTTATAAATCCTTTAAAAGAAGATTGCAGAGTGGAGACTATCAGGATGGTTGAGGCATATGATACCAGTAAACTAAGGAGGGGACAGAGGGGAGAAATTGTAATTGTTTGGGAAAGTGGAAGGTTACAAAGCAGAAATAAAATGTGACCTTCTCCTGTTGAACTGGTGTACATAGACACAGCTATAAACAATTTTGCAGTCAGCATTGACTATGAGTTACTGGTAAGAACCCAAGTGAGGAATTATTAAAGGTAACAAAGATCATGTGTCAAAAGAATATTACAACAAAATAATTAATGTTTTTAATGAGAACCCTTTAATGAGAAATCTGATGAGAGATCAATTCAAATATTAATAAAAACCAGATGATCAGTCAAAACCATGTTAAGTAAAATCAAATAGTTTCTTTTCATATTGAAACTCTTAGAAATTCTGTGTGCTGCACGTTATGGAATAGGACCTAAAATGTATTTCCCAATGGTCTTGTATGTGATACACTTGAGGGGGGGATACATTTGAGATAATAATAACATACTGACTGCTGAATTCTGACACATTTAAAATTGATGTTTGTTGTTTTAAAACCATGCAGAGGGATAAATGTTCTATGAAGAAGCTAACTGGATCCCCACTGTTTCTTTGTGTATTCTCCCAGCTAACTGCACGGCTGATAGACAGCGCTATTAAGTAGTCATTAGCACCGTGTCTGAAAGCTTGGCTTCTGCAGATAATAACAGGCCATTCAGTATTTTAAGCCTTTGTAAGAAGGAGGACACTGTGTGGTTCATATAACTGAGTATAATGAGGTCATTCTATGACAAGCCTGAGAATACAGAGCCATGGGCAACTTATTAGCCTATTTGATGTTAGAACAGATTCAAGTCTAACATTCCAGTGATTTTTTCCCCCTGCAAAAAGCTTCTGCCATTAACTGAGACTACAAAACGACATCACTGAATGGTAGATTGAAATATTGATATAACTGTATTGTAAAGTCTTCAAAATACTTCTGCTTGACTCTGTAGATAAGGAAATGTATATGGACAGATATTTAAAGTGTAGCATTTGTCTGTTTTCTAAAAGCTAACAATGTGACAGAAAAATAGGAAATATTAATGTAGCCAGTAGTGTTCAAAGCAGTACTAAAATGGTAAAAAAAAAAAAAAAAGCTCTGCATAATTTAGCATGACAGTTTTTACTATTTTGTGTCTGATTTCTGCAAAATTTGAGGCAGTGGCTATTTTTACATTGACAATATGCACAAACTGAAATTTAAACTTTACAGCTACCTTTTGCTCAGAACTATTCCATTTTCACTCAGAAATGGGCTTACTTTTCTTGGGAAAGAAGCGCTATTTTTGAATGAAAATGTTGTGATATGTACTGAGTTTTTCAGCAAAATAGGCCCATTTCAAGTTTCTTCATGGAACATGAAAAACTTCACCTTTGATTATGAATATTTTGCATATCCAGTTATCATCATAAACTGGACAATTCTGATCAAATAAATTATGCTGTTTGTTAGTTACAGTACACACAACAGTATTCATAGGTAGCTATCACAATACATGTGGATTACAGGTTAACATAAATTAATATATTTCTCTATTTTAATACCTTTAGCGCTTTTAATAGCTTTTAAATATGCTAACTGTATGAAAACTGGCCATTCTGGTAATGATGTTTCTTCAAGGTGGTTTCTGCAAATTATAATTTGTAGGATGTGTTGTCTTCAGGGCACTGCAGCACTTTGGAAAAGTTTGAAAACAGTACTCATTGGGTGTTGTATGCGTAATCTCATGACACTCAACTTTCAGGGCTGAGGATATTCAATTGGCTTATGGTCCCAATTGCCTCAGTTCCTTCTCTTCCATTGTGGAAGCTCAGTGCCTGTAGCTAGATGTGTATGTGAAGTGTATGTGTATGTGTAAATGGAATTTAGTTTATCTTAAATTTATAGTTTTCATATTTTAGCAATTTAATATGCTTGTAGTAGTTATTAAGACTTTGCTGCACGCGATGCAGTCTAATTTCTTTGCAGCATGGCTTCAGCTTGGGAAAAGCTCGTATGGTGGATCTGAGCTCTCAGAGGCCTGGATTCAAGAAGTGTGCATAGTCTCTCTCCACGTGCCTGGAGTCTGATGCACACACTCAAAACCGTGTCTGCTTAGGGGTGGGGCCTAACTGGAGCTTGGTGTGGCGCTTTCACACCCTGAGCCGGGAAAGATTTGCAGCTCTGGCTTCAGGTCATCCTTCTCTGAGAGTCCCTGAAATCTAATAATTCAGAACTGCCTAAGGCAAAGGGTCTGGGTTCTGTGCAGGGCCCAAAAACTCTGCCTTGGCAAGGCAAACCATAAGAGTCAGTGCCAGAATCAGCACTTCTTTCTGGAATCATATAAGAGGTGTCAATAAGGTGGTTACCTTGATTAATGCTCAAAGAACTCCATTTATTGGTAAACTAATTCTCTTTAAACCTTCATTTGAGTTATCACAGAAAGAAACAGAGATTGGAAAGGTTGCTACTAGTTCTATTTCTACCTTTCTTTTTTCTGTTGTGATTTATAGTGTGTTGACTATTGAATGGAATGGATTCAATGGCCCCAGCTATGCTAGAAGTAAACTGTCTTAGAGTATGGGTGAATCGGACCTCTTGACTTCATATAGCCTACAAACTTTCTAAAGAATTCTTGGGAAGCAAAGTAAACTAATATGAGAGGTATTTGCATAAATCTTTCTTAGAGTAAGCCTTTCATAATTTACAGCTGAAGTAACCTGTACATTAGAATGGTGTGTTAGTCTTAGATGGCACAGTACAATTACAATTGCCTGTAACAGTCATGGAACTGTTTAAAATGTTTATTTCACTATTTTAATTGTTCTTTCAATATTTACAAGATATGAATAATCTATCAATTCACACTTAGCTGTGCTTAATTCTGATTTCCACTTATTATAAAAACTTAAACTGATAACAATCCACGGTGAATTCAAACCAAACATTGGGTAGTACACCATAGACAGCTTCTAAGCTTCTGGGGTTTTGTTTGTTTGTTGTTTGGTTACTTTATTTTTAAGGGGGTGGGGAAAAGGGAGGGGATCTGTTTCATAATATCATTTTGATTTACAAGATAATACAATTTTAAAATACAATAGATTTTTTTTAGATCCAACTATTAATTTATTCATTGTGACGCATAAAGGGTAGAAGAAAGAAGAAACAAATATTGATTTATAAGTGACACTTGTACTTTCCAACAAATTGTTATACATAGTGGGTTGGACTTTCCAAAGCACCTTGGTGTCCTTTTTATGTCAATGGGAGCAAATTTAGGCCAGTCCTGGGTGCTTTTTAAAAACCTACCAGTGTATTTTTAGAGTATTTTTCTGCCTATTTTTACCCTGATTTACAGTTTGGACAATCAAATTATATATACCCAAATATGGAAAAGCAGTTTTGTATATTAACAAATTACATACTCATGACATTAAAATATGAAAAATATTCATGATATATTGCAGAAGTTCGTCCTTGACTTCTATTGATAGCTAACTGGCAATGATTTTTTTCTTTAGGTAATATAGATTCTGTTTACACCATCTGCTGAATAAGGCAGCATAGATAACAGTTCATCAGATATTGCAATGACATTTGTTTATCTGTGTAATTGTACTCTTTTTTTTACACATTAATGTTAGGAGAGCAATAATTGTTGATCACAGATGCTGTGATTTGTAACTAAAATGCACTTTGTACTTATAGTCATATTAGTCTAGCTCTCCCAGGAACCGCAGGGGTGAAAGGAACAGAATGTGGGGCCACCGCTCCTCAGGAGCCAGCGCCCTGCACTGGCAGGTCCTCTGGCATGGCTGTACTGCCCCCAGCCCTACCCCCAGCCCTTCCACGTAGCTGCGTCTCCTGTCTTGAATCTTTACAGCCCTGCTGGAGGACAGGGCTGAAGTCGGGGCTGGGGGCAGTACAGCCACGCTAGAGGAGCTGCCGGCGCGGGGTGCTGGCTCCTAGGAGTGGCAGCCCCACGTTCTGCTCCTTTTCGCCGCTACAGTTCCCGGAAGAGCCCTGGGGTTCAGCGGATACTTATTTCTATCCGTGGATATCCAAATCCGCAGGGATACATTTGTATCCGCGCAGGGCTCTACAATTCATTCTTGAAAAATGTGTCTTTCCGGTACAGCGTCCTGGCAATAAATGTCTTAATGGTTCGGCATACTGACCATACTGGCTTACTTGCACCACTGAGTGCCCCTGAGATATTTGAAAATATCTACATCTTTGCACACATTCACCATGTAATTATATATCATTATATATCATTCCTGATGTTCTCAGTATGATTCCTCCCTACAACTACAGAGGTCTAGTAAGGCCTAAACTGGAGGTAAAAAAAGAACCCGCAATAACAACAGAATGAACAATTTCAGGGAGCAAATCCAGTGCTGCCATGTCAAGAAAGGGCTTGAGCTATGTGTTATCTGTACCACCTTTTCATTCTACCTTGGGCTCATCTGCATACATGCTACTGTGTCACAAAATCTATCCCCAAAAATCTGAGATAAATCATAGTCTTTTTGAAGTCAATGGAAATTTTGCCTTTGACCTGAACTGAATCAAGATTTGCCCATGGAACGTAAGAAATATTTTTCAAGGGAATTCAATGTTTATTAAAAATTGCTCTCTCTTTTTTTTCTAGTATTCATCATGGCATCTGGACTTTTGGTTTATCCTTTCGGCCTCAGCTCTGCTACAGTGAAGAAATTCTGTGAGAATTCAAGCATATACAATGCAGGAGACTGTCAGATTGGATGGGGGTACATGTTGGCAATTGTTGGAGTCATGTTATCTGTCTTTTTACCATTCTTTGCAAAATATGCACCAAAAGAGTACATATCTCCAACTCCAATACCTACTATTTTATAGTATTTTATTAGTATTTAACAGCAAAACATTCCTGTTAATCAATGGGCAGAAAGTATTATAGCACTTCCTTTTAGCTGTATGGCTAAAAAAAAAAAAAAAAAAAAAGAGAGAGAGAGAGAGGGAGATAGAGGGTCAGAATCACAGAGACCAAAAGTGCACTGATAGTCTTCCGTAAGCATGAGAAGCTAACACTCTGGAATTGAAATAAGACTAATTAGCAGCCTTTATGCTGCTCTAAACTTATAATGGCTTAATGCCTTAGTCAAAAAATCTGTTTATCCTCAAAACATCTGTCTACCTCCCAAACAGTTTCTTTTATGTCTCAAAACAGTAAATCTGTTAAAAGCCTCAATTCTCTTTTATATGTTATTAAATGTCACAACTTTTATGAACCCAATAATTTTAAATCTGATAATGATATTTTGTTATAGTTACTATGAGTGGGAAAAAGCCTGCTAGTAACCAGAGCCTAAAATGAAGCTTACCTATGAAAAAAGATGTATGCAAGAAAAAGTGCTTTTGTTTGTTTGTTTTTAATCAATGCATGTTAGGAGTGTGCCTGAATATTGTACTTTGTAGGCACATGTTTTAGTACTGGTCTAACAATTGGGAAGTATAGCCTCCACCGTGATTGCTATACATTTTACATAACTTTTTGCTAAAGAGATCTAACCTTTTCAAAAGGCCCAATACTAAAATAGCTTAAAAAGGAGAAAAGTATATTAAGAGGAGAAGTGCATTTGTTTTACCATACTTCTTAGATTATGATTTTGCATGGAATTGTATATAATTATGTATAGTTTTGGGGGTTTTATAAGCCTGTAAGGTAAAGACTGTGAGTATGTGTGGCAGACTTTGACTCAATATCATCCAATGTAATGATGACTAGAAAAATGTCACATTTTTTGTGTGAAATTTATGAAGTCTAGTTCCAGCAATGGCATTTTTGGTTTCATTACCACCAAGGACTCAAACAAATGCACCACATGCCTTAAACAAAAGAATGATTGGGTTCTAATATTACTCCATTGCCATATTTCTCCTTCAAAATTACAGTAAAATTCCTATCCAGTACTTAGGTCATGAGGATGTTATTTATTTTTAATATTTACTAGTAAAGAACTGAACCTCTTGATTATATTTTAATACTGAACCTTACTTTTCTGCTTTTTAGTTTGTCCTGTGAACCAACTGATCAAATCTATCATCTTTGTTAGTTGTATGCAGTGTTGTTGTAGCCATTTGGTCCCAGGATATTAAAGACAAGGTGGGTGAGGTAATACCTTTTATTAACCCACCTTCTGTTGGTAAGAAAGACAAGCTTTCAAGATTACACAGAGCTTTGGAAGAAGAGCTGAAGAAGAGCTCTATGTAAGCTCAAAAGCTTGTCTCTCTCACCAACAAAAACTGGTCCAACAAAAGATATTACCTCACCCACCTTGTCTCTCTATTTTTCTTGGTTATTTACTGAAGCCTGGGTAATGGTTATTCCTGAATTTCTTCTTTTCTGAAAAATGTGCGTGAAGGGACAGATAAAGAAATGTTGAGGAAGTATAAGAAAATGAGAACTGATAGAACAATCACTTTACTTTATTCCAATATGTATCAAAGTATTATACAATCTTGTTTACATTGTGAAGCCTTCTAAACTCAACTTAATTAAGCATTACATTATTTTTTAAAGTAGCTGACTGTTGTTACATAATCATGAGCTCGAAAGGGCAAATTATGCACATACATTTATAATATAATTCAATTACATTATTAATGTTTAAAAATGCATATTTCAAAGCTGAATAAAGTAAATAGAGAGAACTCTATGGTTTTTGTCATAGAGAACTAAGGAATGAAATCTAAATATTTAACAAAAATGAGGCTGAAGGAATTTCCTCTGCCCTCCTAAAGGCAGAATAGACTTCAGTCTTCTCTGTATGTAGCATGTAGCATTTTTAGTAGTGTCTTATGCTCATTTCATAAATTGCTGGAATAGATTGGAAAGCTTCATATAAAATTCAGAAGGTAAAAAGTGAGAAAATAAACAGATAAAAAAAACCATAACCACAAAGTAAAGAGAGAGATGCAGGCTTTTCTTTCCTAACCAACCTGTGCCTTTACAATAGAACAATTATACAAGACAGGATCAATATATAAAAAAATTCTCATAAACCACTGAAAATGTTATACAATGTGTAAAATTTGTATTCTGTGGGTTTTTCTCTGTTTTGTGTAATGTTTACGATTGTTCACTTAATGTTTCACTAGAAAAAGTGATTTGTTAGTGTAAATTAGAAAACATTTTTGCAAAGATTTAATTGCTTACCAAAAGTAAAATAATTTTAGATTTCTATTAATACCCATAATATATCTAGTAGACACAGAGGGCCCAATCCTGTCACCACTTATAAACATAACTTTACTCATGTGCAGAATTGTGTCCATCACTAATCCCATTGAAATCAGTAGGATTACACATGTGAATAAAGTTACGTAAATGTTTGCAGGATCGGACGCATAGTTTGAAATTCCTTTATAACTTTCACCTATTTTCTCAGTAGAGGTCTTAAAATTTACAATATTCCTATACCAAACTACATATTGAAAATTTATTTTCAGTGTTTTGAACAAACAATCAAGTTAAAAACTCAAGTTTTTTCCACAGTATCCTCCACTTTCTAAGAAAGAGCGAAACTAATGCTTCCATATTGAACGTCCTTTATATAATTTTAAACATTGAAAGGAAATAACGAAAACTTAATGGAGACTGGTGAAATCTAAAATGGGGTAGACAGAATTGCCATGTAAAAGGTCCATGTTCAGAGTCAATTTATAACTCTGGGTAGAGATCATACTGTAACTCAAACCAGAGTAAGCAAAGCATATATTGCAGAAGCTCCTCTGGAACTTAAATAGGGGGAATTACTACCAATACATTTGCTAACACTGATAAATCACTTTTTTAATGAGGACTGTCTGTGAGTTATATTGTGTATAATAGTTTTCTTGTTAAAAAAAACAGAAAATTTACTGGATCAGGTTCAAGTTTTATTCTAAATATATAATTTTTTAAGTGTAACTAAAAGCTGTATTTTCCATTACTGTGTTTCTGCGTTGACTAGCTGCCTCCTTTTTAGAATATTAACTGTTTTCCGTATTTGACTTGTTGAATAAAATATTTGAATTATTTTAAATGTGAAATTTACAATTGCCAACACTGTATAATAAAATAATAAAATAATTCACATTGTTCACTATTTTCCTGACTTTGCTTTTGTTTTACAGTTGCAGTCAGATAAGATGCACAGCAGTTACTTTAAGGGAAGAGACTGAGGGGATAAGGAAATGGCAACAAATAGGAATAATCTATATAGGTGTCTGCGTATAGGAGCATAGGCATATAAACATATAGTTTGTGATCCCTGGCCTGTACAAATAATGATCCAGTTAGTAGTAGGCTGCTATCCTGGGACTTGGGAGAAGCAGGTTCAGTTCCCTTCCCTTTCTCCCACCTCTTGTGTGGCTTTGGGCAATTCACTTACTGTTACTGTGTGCCTCAGTTCCCATCTGTAAAATAGGGATAATAGTACTTCCTTACTTCACATGGATGTTAGAATACATTAAAGATTGAGGCAATTGGATACTTCAGTAATGGGGACCAAATAAATACCTAAGATAGGCTTCATCCCAGAACAGCTCGGCAGTGCCTGTTACGTTAGCCTGTAGAAGAACTTCTACATGGGTTTTGGCAGAGCCAGAAAAAGCAAGGCAACTTCTGCAGCTGCAGCCCAGCCAGTCAGAATATGGCTCTACATATAATTTATGTTTATCAGCAATGAAAATCATTTTTTAAAAAACATTTATTCTTTAGATGAAATATATGGTTAATATTTTGAAATAAAAGTACTTATTTTCTCAAAATAATTTCTTGGAACAATCGTACTAAAAAGCAACAATAAATTCACTTAGAATTGATTATCTGATTTTTCTAAGCCATTTAGGTTAATGATGGAATTAGTACCTTATTTTGCTCCAGTTACTTACACTTAATGACCATATAATTCAGAATTCAAGAAAATTAATTTAATTTAATTCCCAGTAAATTTCTGACATGAGACTAGATTGCCTCCTCTCATGGAGAAACCAACAGGCAAGGCCCAAGGGGACGAAAATGGTATGAGGATCCTGTAGATCATTTGGGTGAATAGGTTCCCCTCAGAGTGGGCTACACTGCTTTTTTCAGCCCTACACCCTCAGACATTTTGAGATCCTTTACAAGCTAAGACCATCTATGGAGAGGCCCTATACTTCTGCACTCTCTCCAGCTCCCCGTGATTCTCCCCTACTCCTTTCCCCTTAAAGGGCTAAGGCTAAATTATTAACTCTTCAATGGATTGTCTGTGGGGTTGGTGGAAGGGGGGATGGACATCTCCCAGTTCAGCCTTCTATGGGCCATACAGCTGTACCCTCAATGTTAGACAAAAGGGGTGGGAAACTGTGCTATGAATGGGATGCTCCCTCCACCTTCCATGATAACACTGCGAAATCCATTCATTGTTTACATTCAGGGTATATGAGTTTAGCTAAAAGTTGAGTCTGTATAAATTCATGTATTTGTAACCAAAATGTAATACAGGCAGTCCTCGACTTTATGACGTTCAAGTTACGAAGAACTGCACTTACGACCCTTCTACATGGACACCCCGATTCGACTTACGACTATAGGTTTCGAGTTTACGATGCTCGGTCCCGCAATGAAGTAGATTGCGGTTCCGAGTTCCGACTTACAACACAATTGTAAGGAACCAGTTGTGTCGTAAGTCCGAGGACTGCCTGTATTTTGATCCATATTCCTTCAGTAAAATCTAACAAACCACACAACAAAAAATCTAGCACAGTAAACAAAGAAATATAATGGTAGAAACAAACCGGAACAATTTTATTTTAATTTTTACATAACACATACTATAATTGTGCTTTCAAGTATTTAATAAAAGAATACTTTTAATATGAGCTTTTGTAAATGCTCAAGATGTGCAGCCTTTATGCTTATTGATCAACAGGAGTGTGATCTCAACTTTAAATTATTGCTTAAATAAACATTACTTTAAACTTCATTCATTGTTTTCACACATTCTCTCATCTCGACATCTGAAGTTTTAACAAATTCTTGGAAAGTTCTTTGTTCTACAACAGTTGCAGGTCTTACAGACACACACTTGAAGATGTTCCTTTTTGTGTCATAGTTTCCCATGCACCTGTGGACTCGACCTCTAATTAGTCTTGGAAGCTCCCGATCCTATTTCAAAAGCATAATAATCAAAAGGTTAAAATTAATTCCCTTTTCTAACATGAACTAAGCTCTTCAAAATGTCTGAAGAATAATAGTGTTCGTAGGGGATTCCTGGAGCCTAGGTAATGTTTGTGGGCTATGTCAGCTCTACAGTCCCTTGCAGTTCTTGACCCTCTCTGGCAGCATGACTGCACAGGAGCTACACCACAAGAACTTCTTCTTTTGTCAATTGCTGTCCCTACAACTCTTAGGAAAAGTGGTTCCATTACAAGAAGGGAGCTGCGGAAAACAGTATGTTCTGAGGGAAGTTGCCAAGTACCACGAAGCTAGATGAAAAGATGTCTTAACAGTGAACAGAAATGGGAGATACTGGGTTTTCACTGACAAAAGACCCACAAAAACTTTGGCCCAAGTCTACCCTGAAGTATGCACAAATTACCTTAAAAAAATTAATCAACAAACTGAGGTAACAGAAAACTTCCTGCTATAAGTCCTTTGTGAGAAGAATTGAACTTTGGCCAAATTATATACATAAAACTCCTCTGGGTACAAAGAGGATTTTCCTACATCTGCAGCTAGCCATCGATAGAAGGCAATTATGCAAGCCCAGAACTGCATGGCCCTTTTATAGCCTCATTTCTGAATGGTCAGTGCTATGAAGGCATGCTCATGCAATCCAAACAGGTACACCTTTTCTAGAGGACTGCCAAAGCTCAGTAGCACCAAGTGGTTGGTGTGTGTAAACTACAAATAAAAATATGCAGAGCACACCTTGAAAAAAAGTGAACTTTGCCCCATAACTTCTCTGCTTTATAGTTGTTTCCCTCCAAAATCCCAATCCAGCTTTCCACAACCTAAACAAACTCTTCTCAAATTTAATTTGATCTGAGAAAGCCCCAAGACACTTGCACAAACATTTCTCAACAAGTTTTGGCAAAACGGGTTTGGGCTTGCCTGAACTGCAACTGTATTTACTGCCACAGACCCAATAAGCAGTTTGTTCACTTTGTATGGAAAGTGAACAATACAGCTTTTAACTTTATTTTATACATTAGAAGTTAGTGTTAACAGAATACATGTTATTAACCTCCTAACTGCACCACGTATAGTATATTCTGTATAAACATAGAAAATACTTACAATTTCATAAAATACACATGGCAGACTCTCCTTTCCATCTCTCAAGACAAAACTTTTTGCTCCATATGCTCCAGGTGTGACTGCAGAATCAAGTGTGCCTAAACAATATGTCAAGAAGTAAACGAGGATGTAAACATGAGAGCACTATTAAAGCCTGTGATCTACAAATATTAAGTGACATTAATATTCAATAGACAAAAATACTAAGCAACATACTGATGTCAGTCTTCTAACTAGCACAGTTTCCACTGACATCAGTGGGAATTGTACTGCAAATTAAGGGCTATATATGGCACACTAATAGTAAATTCACATATTTTGTCTCTGTGAAGTAGGTGAAAAACTGTACTTTTCATAAGCATGATTATAAACTGATTAGCTCCCTAGGTACTGGTGCACGAGAGATCCAGTTTTTCTTAAAGCTGTACTTACTCATATATGCGAATCAATTCTAAACCATTAAAATTTTTAACCAACATTTCCAATGTAAAAGAAAGAGTCCATGAGTTCATGTTACATTTGGTATCCCCAGCCACCCCAACTCTTAAAACAATTGGTCATCTCCAGCTTCCTTTGTCAAATTCTATTTTTAGGTAACGTCAATAAAAGTGAAAAGTGAAATAGGTTGTAAAAATAATTCAAATTCAGAAGAACTCCAGGTTTTGACTGATTCCCAAGTTAATTCTATTAAAAAGTTATTGCAGAACTCTGGTACCCTTGCTAGCGGGATTTTTCATTGCAAATTTTCTTTCTGTTTCTTAGCTTCAATAATGTCTCAAGCTTTAATTATTTTAATTCTATAAAAAATGTAATAATCCTGAAAAATAGAAAGAAAGTCTGCTACTACACTCTTAACTGATGTTGTGATGGCTTTTTATATAGTGTGGATTAGTCTCTCGGGTATATGAAGAATTTAGGTTGTACTCATCCTTTTATCAAAGAGTTCAGATGTTATAGACAAAGTTCCAAGCCTCACCAATAAAATTCTTCATCAGTTTTCTAAGTACAGACAGATTTTAGATAGTGGGCACAGTTAATCAAATCAGCCACAGAGAGATGTAAAGAGGACTTTCTTGTGTCAGCTAAACCCATTGCTGCTGGAGGGAAATTCATCCCTTTGGGATTCATGTAGTGTTTTCACCTCTGCTGTGCGTAAGGGTTCCTTCAAATGAGAGAGGCAATTTTAATTTGTATCACATCCCATGAGAATTCTACCAAAAGGAACTTCTTCAGAGAGCTATATCAGCAGACTCTCTAGCCACCGTGGCCATCTCCCCTTTTCAGCCAGCTCACTTTTGATGATGTGCTGTCCTCTATACCTTTACCTTTGTATCCACCTTTTAAGTAGAGTTGTGGCTGCTTTGCACAATGCTACCAAATCCTGAGTAGAGTTTTCATCCCCTGGAAACTCCACACCTCTTTTTATCAGCCTAAGTCACTAATTAAATTAGCACAATTCATTTTATACTGCCCTTGAACCTTGGCTAGAAAATATAACAGAAATCAAGACAATAGTAGAAATATTAAGATGGGGAGAGTTTAAATATTGTAGGGTGATACTTTTCATTTTGCCATGCTCATATTTTGGTGCTCTTTGATATATGGACAATTGTCTGGATATTAAATTAATTGGAGACTCATGTCAATATTAAAAGGAAAATGGGTCAAATATTAATCAAAATTTGAGAACTGGTTCTTTAAATATTTTGACTATTGTTGCTCTATAGTAAAAACTGCATTGTCTTTTTGAGACTGACCCACCAATATTCTTAACTATAGCATAAACTACTATACATACCTAACACTTCAAATAATAGTGCAGTTTTATAAGTATACTGGCTCCAATGCTTCATACTTTCAATGACTGCACTTATAATTCGCAGAGAATTGTCTTTTTCTTTAAGTTTTAATTGATATGCTGGAACTTTCTTTCAGGGAAACATGAGAACTCAAGTTAAATAGAGACCTTTACAGTCTTTAAAGTCAGATAGACTTGTTCTTATGTTAATTATCCAGTATTTAAAATGAACACATTATTTAATTTATTTAGATTACTAAAACACCAATAAACCGATGTCCAATATAACTTGTTTTATGATATCACAAAAATCACACAATAGACTACTGTTTCTGTTCAAATAAATAAGTACCCCTATTCAAAACAATGGTCACACAACCCTCCTTCACACCCACACCCATGCAAAAGGCATTTCATAAAATGAAGATTTTATTTAGGAATTGGACTTTCTAACGTGTCTAAATGACTTCAGAACACAAGTCCCAAAATCCGCACTAATTGGAGAGAATAAGTAGGACTTGACAAAATCCCATGGATATGCACCAGACCACTGATTTGAGTCCAGCCAAGTGGAAAACAATCGCTGGCAAGACAAAGAAATAATATAAACATGCTTGAAACACACAAATTTGTGCCACCTATTTCATACTGAGTAGCAGATAGAAACAAAGTCATGACTAGCAGTTGTCTAAAACATACACAAATAAACTAATAAATAATGAACAGCTATTTTGTTTCTTATTTATACTGTACTACCTTGTGAATCAACATTGACCAAATAGATAATTATCATTCATTTGTGAATGCTGGGCATGACATAGGGGTACAGAGAAAAAGAAAGATATATCTTTAGGTACAATGGGATTTTTGTTGTTAAAAACATAAGCAATGGAAACATTGTTTAGTCTAAATTTGTGCTATTTTTGACAGGGAAATTGCATTTAGCAAATTAAAAAAGAAATGCAAGAGTGAGGGATGCACCAAATGTAAATAGAGGTTTAAAGAACAGAAGAATAGATTAAAATCAGTCAGAATTTCTATTTCTATTAACAAGCTGCATTAACAAGAGCTATGAAGTATGCCAACAGATTTGAAAAAGGTTTTGTAAATGCATAAGAACAGTAAACTAGAGTACAATACTCATGAAGAGATATATTTGTTCTCCTTACAGAAAATAACTTCAACTACAGAAACTAGGAGACAAAGCCAGTTTTTCTAAAAGCAGAGCAACTCTTTACCATTCAACAAACAGCTGAAGAATAAGAACCACTATATACCACTATATTGCATTCCTCACAACATATGACTTGAAGAAGCATAACTTTATTTCACTAGTAAAAATTATTTCAATAAATTACATTAAAGTGAGGGCATGTCTTCCTTTAACACAATTCAAAAATGTTGCTGCCAACATTTCACCAAAATTTCCTGGGACATATCTAAGAAAAGGCCAGGACTCTGAGCAGGAGGCTGACCAAGGTGTGTGTGTGCTCAGAGGGTGTAGTGGTAATTGTTTGCGAAATTTTGGAAATTTTAGGTTACTTTAATATGAAAATTTTAATTCCAAGGCTTCCCAAAGTTGAATTAATGGAGGCCTCCCAAAGCTAGAATTCATGGTGGCTTCATCTTCCCTCAAACAACTTTCCCTCCCCCAACAGGCATCTGTCCCCTTATTATTTTCTCGGGAAATGTCCTGAGGCCTGTAATTTCTTCCCCTTCCTATTCCCCAAAATTTTACCTGAATCATTTTGTCTTCTGGAACATGATCAAATTGTTTTTCATTAACTTTATTTTGTTGAATATTATGTTTAAATTTATATGCTGGACTATGATCCTGTAGACTTCTTGATGTGGTGCTGGATATAACTGGCCATTGTGCTTTGGATGAACATATTTGTCCTGTTACAGTTGTCTCAATATGCTGTGATGCCTTATGATGCTCAGGTAGTTTGTGCTGCTGAACAGTTCTCAGACTATTTGAGATATTCTCAAACTTTCGAATGATTCCACTATCAGATATCAAATTGATTCTGCTACTTGGCGACATATGCTCATTTCTGTTCCAAACTTTAGCATTGGTCTTCTTTTCTTCTGCTCTGCAGTGCAACATTATATATGATTCAATATCATAATACCTATTGAAATATTGACCTGCATATGCAAAATGTATATAAGTGCATTCCATAGATTATTCTGTGACCTTTTTAAAAAAACACCCTGTATTTCTTTAAGCCCAGATAAAGTACTTAAACATGTGCTTAACTTCATCCTTAGTCAAGATAGTGATTAAGTATGTGGTTAATTTTACACATGTGCTTAACTCCCATTAACTTCAATGGGTTTTAAACA